CGTAGATAACAAACAGACACAAAGCCAAGACAAACACGGAAACCCCACAAACTCACAAAACGAGAACGTTTTGAAACCCTAAACCCTAAACCCCGAACCCCCCTAAACCCCAAACCCCCCTAACTCTAAACCCAAAACCCTATTAAACCCTAACCCCTAATTGAACTCCAACATTAAACTAGAAGACGAGTGGCCCGAAAGCATCATTTGCCAAGAGTTTTGCGCTATGTAAAGTCATAGAGTCAAGTACATAAAGTCATAGAGTCAAGTGCACAGTTTAAGTACATAGAATCCAGTGCATAAAGTCATAGAGTCAAGTGCATAGAGTCATCAAGTACATAGTCCAGTGCATAGAATGAAGTACATAGAGTCGTATAGTCTAGCGCATAGATGCATAGAGTCTCTTTGTGGACTTCTTTCGATGTACTTCACTCTGTGTACTGTGGTAAATGCACTTAATTGGATGTACTTCACTTTATGTAATTTATGTACTATGCACTTGGCAAGTGCATACTTCACTTTGTGTAAGTCCTGTATTGCAAGCACAACCGTAGTCTGCGGGACGCCTAAAAGTAGCAACTTTACCTCGCGTTCCTGCGCTCGACCACGCCAATCCCCGCAAAGGGTTGCGAAGGAACCCTAAAAGTAGCAACTTTACCTCGCGTTCCTGCGCTCGACCACGCCAATCCACGCAAAGGGTTGCATTCCCGATCGATGACATCGGTGCCGCCCGGGCTTTAAACAGAATTATAGTGACTCTGTGCACTTGATCCTATGTACTTCTCTGAAGGGCTTCGCGCGGAAGAACCCTTCGCGATGCTTCCGGGAAAAAAAGACCTCCGGAAGGGCCAAAGTTGGCCCACGCAGGCGCGCTGCTGCCGGTGCTGGGCGTGGCACCTTTGGCCAAACAGGGCGGCGCAGGTTCAGGGTTTAGGGTTCAGGGTTGTCTTTACTTTTTTTCGTTGGTTGTGATTTTTTCGTGATGTCTACATTTTTGCTTGTGACAGGGTTGTTCATTCCAAGTTTTGACTAGCGTCTTGTGGGATCCCATAGGCGTTGTAAGAGGTGTTACGAAGCTTGGTAGGGCCTTCCAGCGGTGTTACACCCAAGTATCCAAGAGTCGGGTACTTTGGTTTAGGGTAATCGCAAATCCAGGAAGCTGAAAGCTAAACCCTAAACCCTAAACCCTTAACCCTAAACCGAGCACTGTGTCAAAATTTGGGCTTGGACCCATGCGTCTAGGGAGCAAGATATGAGACTTCAACAAGCCACCATGTGTTGACAACTCTTTCAGGCATGAAAGATCCCGTGGGCTACGGCAAGAAGAAAACCAAAACACCCTAAACCCCAAACCCTAAAAACCCTAAACCCCAAACCCCAAAACCCTAAACAGCTAAACCATAAATCCATATTACGCAGGTATCTTGGGGCCACTGACCTTCATCTTGGACCTCAGAAACTACACATGCATAACCCTAAAGCTCAGAAGCGAATCCCTAAACCCCATAACCCGAAACCCTAATCCCTAAACCCCATTTCTCAAGCCTTTACCCCATATGCCCTTCCACAGAAGCCGGATGCTGTGCCCAATGAAGGGATGCATTGAAGAGGTTAGACGAAACTCAAATCTTACAGCTCTATACACAATCATAAAACTCTGGAAAGCAAGCCTCACAAACTCCGCAAGCCCTGCCAGAAACATTAACGTGTATACATATATGCAGAGATCTATATATATATATATATATGTGACACCATGAAACTTGAAGACGCCCATGAACCCTACAGAAGTTACATAAAACAAAAGCTCAACTCCTGGGGCTCCCAGGCTGCTTTGGAAGGCATCCCAGGGGGCATCTGCTGCCGCCGGTGCGGCAGCTGCCGGTGCGGCTGCTGCCGGCGGTGCACCTCCGGCGGTTTAGGGTTCAGGGTTCAGGGTTCAGGGTTTAGGGTTTAGGGTTTAGGGTTTGGGGTTTAGGGTTTGGGGTTTAGGTGTGGAGTTTAGGGATGTCAGGGGTTTGCGGCTTATGGGCTTAGGCCTCAGGGTGTGCGATTCATGGACTTGCTCTGTCGGCGTATCTCCGTTCTTCTCTTTGGGGTTCAGGGTTCAGATCACCCTTCGACGCCATCCGCGTCAAGGCTCTTCATCTCCACGCCTGCCTCCATTCCTCCACCCTCGGCCCTGCGGTCCCCTTTTTATTTTCATTTAGGAACACCCCGAACCCACGGTTTAGGGTTTAGGGTTTTACGAAAACCCCGAACCCTGGAAAAAATCCCCAGAGCCTTTCAGAGCCGAAGAACGTAGAGCTCAAGCTGGCTTAATTAAGCCCTGGACCTTCTCTTTCAGGGGTTGGTGTCGAGCTTAGGAAAAGTGCAGTTAAGGGGCCTGGCTAAATTAAGCCCTGGACCTTCTCCTTTAAGGGGTTGGTATCGAGTTTAGGAAAAGTGCAGTTAAGGGGCTGGGCTCGAGCAGGTGATTAGAGCTTAGCTTTCTGGGATTTGGGCGGCTGGTTTCAAGATTCAAGTGATTTACGGCTCAGGAGACTTACTAATTCAGGAGAGCCTCCCGTGGCCTTAAACCCTAAACCTTAAGCGCCTCCCTGTTGGGGCGGGGCTGCAGCAAATGGATCCCAGCCGGGCGCGGACGGCGCGGCCTCAGTTGAACTTCTCTGGCTTTAGAGAATTTTGTGGAGCGTCAGACAAGTCTTTCTAAGGCCTTCATAGACGGTTTATAAGGCCTGATTACGGACGAGCTTTCAAAGAGTGGCTCGATTCATGTATAAGGTTTGTGGGGAGGTGGAAGGCTTCAGAAGCGAACCTCAAGACCTGAAACCCCATGAGGTCTAAGCCGTAAACCCAAAACCCTGATACCCAAACCCAAACCCTAAGCCCAAGCTCGAAAGCCAACGGATAACGATGGGCCGCCGTTGACGCGATCCTTCTTAACCCCCGAATCAACCCTAAGATAGTATGGGCCAACAAAACTGGTAGTACTGGTGGTAAACGTAGTAGTAAGATAATAGTAGCTGCAACAAAAGAAGAACAATAATAAGAAGTAAACCCTAAACCCTAAACCCTAAACTCTCAACTAATAAGAACAAGACTCACAAACTGTCCCAAAGAGGGCTCGGAGGTCTGGGAGCCTGAAATCCTCAACCGAGCAGCCCTGGCCTCAAAAGACTTACAGCGTGAAAGCGTCAAGCCGGCCTTGTGGGTTTTAGGGTTTAGGGGTTTAGGGTTTGGGGTTTAGGGGTTTAGGGTTTAGGGTTTAGGGTTTAGGGGTTTTAGGGCACCTGTCCTAAAGCTAGGATGTCGGATTTCAGGTTTGACGTTGAGGGCGTGTGGAGGAGTCTTCGGGATAGAGGTCTCATTAGGGCTATAAAGCGCTCCTGATGATGTGGGACAGAAATTATAAAGGACGTGCAGGGTTTAGGGTTTAGGGTGGCATGGTACCTGAACCCTTGATTGTGAACCTATACAGTAATCCTAAGCCCTGCATTCCACTCCACTCCGGAACTTCCTTCTGCTTAGGATTCAGACACGCTGCCTTCCTTATGGAGATACTCAGTCCGGGCTTTCGGGGCTCAGGGCTGAGGGTCAGAATCCGGCGCACACTTTTGATACAATGATTGATAAATGCGAGGACGAGGTCATGCGCCGGCGCTTCAGATCTGCGCGGGTTCAACTCAGCAGCGTTGCACTGCTCTGATGCTTTCGTGCCTGGCCGGCCATGGCATCCACAACTACAGCAGCTGGACGGACAGAGTCTCAGCAGGACTTCTTACACATGATGTAGGGGCCTTAATAATTAGAATGGGGTTTTGGGGCCCTTTATACTCAATTTAGAAAAGGAAGCCCCCAAAGTAGTTTGGTAATTAGTTAGGCCCCTTCATTACGCGTGTTTGATCGGGAAGGCACATACTACGGTCTTAAAATAGGCTATGCAGGTGGTACCTGGGCTGTGCTTCGCTTGGGCAAACTCAACCAACGCCCCCTGCGCGCGAAAATTGTCTTGAATCTTTCTCTGTGTGGGCCTGTGTATCTATGTGTATATATATGTATATATATATATGCGTACATGACCCAAGCCAGCATGTCCATATGTATGTATGTATATATGTATATATATACATACACCTAAGCACGGACAATGCACATGGCATGCATCGACCGATGATTCTGAGAACTTACACCCAGGCTCGGACTGCTCAGATAAGACAGCTGCAACTGCCGCTTCTCCGTACCTACAAACCCAAGGCACTCGTTGCTACCCATAGACCCCATAGTAGTTCTTTTTTGGGTTACCCTATAGGATTCTATATATTTTTGTATATATATATATATGAACACCAAAAAGGAACTACTTTAAGGCCTATATATGGGTAAGCACACAAGTGACTATACAAACACAGGATGGGTGGGATCCTAGAAGTGCAGCCTGCTGAGCTGGATGTCTCTTTCTCCAGCTGCCTGGCACGAATGCCCACAAAATCACTGGCCTTGGCGAAAGCAGATTTAAAAAAAGCTGGAAACCAAAAAGCTTGGGTAGCGGCACGCTTCGGTGCATCGATCCGTGCCGCTAGCTTCAAGCAAGCTAGGACAGCATCGCACATGCATATTCAGGGTAGTCCCTCAAACCCCAAACCGTCAACCCTACAACTTCGAAAAGCAGCGAAAGTGCCTAGCTCGAGACTCGTCCCTGCCCGAGCCACAAACAGGCCCTGCAGGGATTTCGGGTTTAGGTTTCGGGTGTAGGGATCCTGAACACAGCTGCGGCTACCAGCTGGCACTTGAACGTGCCGAAACCTTCAAATGGTGCCGGCCTTGGCATTGCGATGCCCATGTTCAGGCAAAGCTTCCGCAAAAGCCCGCTTCATGCTCTTTCAGAACCGAATCCCTCAAAAGATAAGTCTCTAAACTGCTTCCTTCTGAAGTTTGGGGAGTTGGTGCTGTCCCCCTGGCCCACCCCCTACACCCTAAACCCATGTCCATGTCCGGTCTCAGTTGGCCTCAACCAGCCTTCGTCGTCTCCGTTTCAGCAACAAAACAAGCATCAGACCCTAAACCCCAAACCCTAAAATCAACAAAAGTCTGACAAGGCCAGGTTAAAAGCTTGCAAACTTGACAAAGCAAGAACGGCTTCGGGTTCAGGGTTTAGGGTTTACCCTTCAAGTGTGTTTCCTAAACACCCAGCAAGGTCAAATCCTGCACACTCAAGCTACCCCAAAGCAATACTTCCTAGAATTGTCTCGAACCCGTATTGTAGATCCCTTATAGACTTCTACAAAAATAGCCGTATGAACGCGAATATTCAACCTACCTGCATGAAAAAAACCTAGATCATCAGCAACCCTATAAGCCAAACCCTTCAAGCTTAGCCATAGAGTAACCCTTCGAGCCCGTGAACAGCGAACTCTTAAACTCTAAGTCCCTATAAACCATCCTAAACCCAATGCTTGGAGCTGCAATATAGGGGCCTTAGTAAATAATCTTTAGCATAGGTTTTGGGTGTACATTATACTATATTTCATACCCCTGATCAGAGTAAAATACTGTACTATCGGGGGCTTCATGATTAGAATAGGGATTTGGAGTATTTTATACTATAACGTCCAAGAAGGACCCCCAAAAGGGTATAGGTAATTCTTTAAGCCCCTAGATTACCCCCCTTTTTTAACAAGCTACCAAGCCTTGAACCCGATAACCTAAACCCCCCTTTTATAAACAAAATACCAAGCCTTGAACCTTATACCCTAAACCCCAAGCCCCCCTTGTTTAAACAACCTGCCAAGCCTTGAGCCGGATACCCTAAACCCTAAACCCATCTAAGCCCTAAGCAACCCTTTTTCAAACGAACTACCAAGCCTTGAACCCTATACCCTACCCTAAACCCTAAACCCCCCCCTTTTTAAACAAACTACCAGGCCCTGAACCCTATACCCTAAACCCTAAACCCCCCCTTTTTTTAACAAACTATCAAGCCTTGAACTCTAACCCTAAACCCTAACCCCCCCTTTTTAAACAAACTATCAAGCCCTAAACCCTAAACCCTAAACCCTATAAACCCTAAACCCTAAACCCCCCCCCCTTCAAACCACCAAGCAGCCTTTCACTGAGCTCCCAGAGCTTGCGACAGCGGGCGTTGTCGGCCGCTTCGCCTCCGATCTCGTCCACGGAAAGAGTGCGGAAGCTCCCATAGTTCATGAACCAATCGAGGTCCTTGTAAGGGAGCTCATGGGGTTTAGGTTTTCATGAACCAATCGAGATCCTTTGAAGAGACATAAGGGTTTAGGGGTTCATGAACCAATCGAGGTCCTTTTAAGGGACATATAAGGGTTTAGGATTTAGGGTTTAGGGGTTCATGAACCAATCGAGGTCCTTTTAAGGGACGTATAAGGGTTTAGGATTTAGGGTTTAGGGGTTCATGAACCAATCGAGGTCCTTTTAAGGGACATATAAGGGTTTAGGATTTAGGGTTTAGGGGTTCATGAACCAATCGTGGTCCTTTTAAGGGACATATAAGGGTTTAGGGTTTAGGGGTTCATGAACCAATCGAGGTCCTCAAAAGGGACATATAAGGGTTTAGGATTTAGGATTTAGGGTTTAGGGGTTCATGAACCAATCGAGGTCCTTTCAAGGGACATATAAGGGTTTAGGGTTTAGGATTTATGGTTTAGGGGTTCATGAACCAATCGAGGTCCTTTTAAGGGAGCTCATGGGGTTTAGGATTTAGGGTTTAGGGTTTCGGGTTTAGGATTGAGGGTTTAGGGCTAGGGGTTCATGAACCAATCGAGGTCCTTTTAAGGGAGCTCATGGGGTTTAGGATTTTGTTTAGGATTTGGGATTGAGGGTTTAGGGTTAGGGTTTCATCAACCAATCGAGGTCCTGTTAAGGGAGTTCATGGGGTTTAGGGTTTAGGGTTTCATGAACCAGTCGAGGTCCTTTTACGGGACATAAGGGTTTAGGGTTTAGGGCTTCATGAACCAATCGAGGTCCTTTAAAGGGACATGGGGGGTTTAGGGTTTAGGGCTCGGGGTTTCATGAACCAATCGAGGTCCTGTCAAGCGGGTTCATAGGGTTTGGGGTATCGAGGTCCTTTTGAGGGAGTTCATAGGGTTTTACAAATTCTTCGTGGGGCTGTACATCGTTATGGTGCTTTATACGGGTTCTTGAAGAGTTCATGAACCGATCGAGGTTAAGGGAAGCTTTTATAAAGGTTCCTAACGGCTCTGCAACAGGTTCCTCTAAGGGCCATAAGGCTAGGGCTTGGGGTCTTGGTGTTTGGGATTTGTTGCTTTTCGGAGCTTTGGGTCATAGCTGCAGTGATTCACTTTAAAACTTCAGAACCACTTCAGGTCCTGATAGGGCCACGAGAGGTTAGGGATTTGGCGTTTAGGGCCTGTGCCTGTCATAAACGAGTTACAAGGGCTTTACGAAGGCCTCATGGGGCTGTACACCTCTATGGCGTTTTATATCGGTTCTATAAGAGCTCATGAACCAATCGAGGTCCTGTTTAGGGGTCTTATAAAGGCTCTTCAAAGGGTTCCTTAAACCCTAGGCCTCTAAACCCTAATGTAAGGGTCTTAATGATATTAGTAGGGTTTGGTGGTATATTAGACTATATTTGCAATAAGGAGCCCTCAAACAGTATGGGTAAATGTTTAGGCCCCTACGTTAAACCCTAGGATTTAGGGTTGAGGGTGGTTTGAAGGGGAATCCTGGGGCACAAAGAGAGTTTGGATTTGGCGGTCTAGGATCATGGGGCGTCCTGCGTTATCGTTCATGAACCAATCAGGTCCTCCGTCTGCAAAAGTTGGAGGGTGTTAAGGACTTTATGTAGGCTCTATGGCCCCATCAACCGAACCAAACGAGGTGCTCCGGCGATCCGTGCTCATTCTATCTCTATGCTGTGAAAGGAAGCCCCGAATCTTCGCTTGAAGCCCTAAACTCTACACCGTAAACACCCTAAGCCCTACCTTGAAGCCCTACACAAAGTACAACCCCATAGAGCCCGTTAAAACCAAAACCCTCAACCCTAAACCCTCAACCTTACACCCTGCAAATTTCTGAAACTCTTTTCAGTCCTTCTCTTTGTTCTCCACGGCTTCCTTGCCGCCGCTGCCTCCAGTGCCGGCCTCTCCGCCCCAGCTGTAATACCTTGGCTCTGAGGATTCGGGGTTTAGAAAGGAGTTCAAGGTTTCGGGTTTAGGGGTTTAGGGTTGAGGATTTGGGATTAGAAAGGAGTTTAGGGTTTAGGGGTTTAGGAGTTTAGGGTGTTGGGCTTAGAGGCTTAAGGGTTTAGCATTGAGGATTTGAGGTTACATGCATGGGGGCTTTTGGAATGCTTTGATTATCGTCGCTGAGTGTGTCAAGCCGAGTTTACAATTATGGGTTGTGGCGGCCTGCACGGGTTTCAGAAAATGAAGGTTAGGGTTTAGGGTCTGGGGACAAGGAAGGTTACGTTAGCGGGCTGCAGAAGGACTTTACAGGGTTTGAGGTGGCTGTTCCAATACTTAATGTAGGGAACTTTATAATCAGAAAAAGGCCTTGGGCTCCTTGAGAGTATTCTCATAATAAGGAACCCTATAAGGAATATTATTGGCAATTCTTAGGCTTCTATATTCAGAAAGAAGCTTTTCTGAAACGGGACGGGGAGGAGGTGGGGTTAGGGTGTTGGAATTAGAAGGGGCTAGGGGCATCGACGACTCAGAAACACTAAACCCCAAACCCCAAACCCTAATATACCTTGGTTTGTGTCTGTTAGGATTCGGAGGGCTTTTTCCGAGGATTGACCGAGGCTCCAAAAGCTTCAATATGGTCTTATTCGTAGGGTCAAAAAACTTAAACCCCTTGTGGTGCTTGTGCTTGGGGCTGCAGGGCGTCGGAGGTTGAGGTTTGCTCGGGCTTTGGTTTCGTAGGGCTTCAGGATATGAGTGCGCAGGGCTTTGCAGTGCGATCTTGCAACATGGCTCGAAACCCTTAACCATAAACCCTGAACCCTGTTGGGGCTTCAGCAGTTCATGGTTTTGAGCCTTGTGGGCCTATGGTTACGGCTTCAAGATTCTGGGCTCTGGGACGTTCACCCCGGTTTTCGGTGTCGGGCTCCGAGGGCCACTAACGTAGGAAACTCCGAATCAGCTTGTGTAACTAGGGTTTCTGGTTTAGGGTTCAGGGTTTAGGGTTCCGAACATCCAAACCCACAGCCCTAATAGATCCCGCAAGGGGACCCTTACGAGGACCTTCTCTGTTGCAACCCAACCGCGATCCAGAGGTGGCGTAGCGCTCATCTGCCACAACGGCAGCCAAACGCTTACCCGCCTCTTCCTGTTTAGGGACTATAGATCATTTAGGGTTCAGGGTTTTTTTGGTATAGAATCAGGCTAGGGTTCACGGTTTTTAAGGAAACAATCAGGTTAGGGTTCAGAGTTTTTTTTAGGGATACAAGCAGGGGACAAAAAGGGTTCAGTCTCTGGGGTACTGTATCTCGTCCTGTTTGGGGTTTTGGGCTTGGAGTGTAACGCAGGGGCCTTAACAGTTGGAATTAGGATTCCTTTACCGGTTCGTGAAAGGGCTAGTCACTAGTGTAACGGTGTGATATAGAGCCTTTATCGTTTCAAACGGTAAGCAACTAGGGCCTACAAGGGCCTTCGGGTTAGGAGTTTAACTTCCCTTCGTGCTTAAGGTTCAGGGCTTAGGGAGTTTAGGGCTGAGTGCTCCGAACCTAATGCTGAACTTCCACAAGATCGCCACATAATCCTGCCCCCGCCTGGCTCACATAGGCCTTGGTCACGGTCTTGTGGAAAGCGGGGAAGAGGCTCTGGAAGAGTGGGTAATGCTCTCGGAAGAGACCAGTCTCTGCGATGCAGCCGGGGTAGAGGGAGGTAAAGACGATTCCAGTCTCTTGGTGATAACGTCGATGCAACTCCTGAACCCAGGATCTACATCCGAGTGTCCTAACAAACAATCCTTCCTAAGGTCTGCATTGTACCTCGACTGGTTTTGGGCTAGCGGATGTTTGTTCTGGTTAGGATCAAGAAAACAAAGATAAACAAAGTAACACCAAACACAAATACAATGGCGGCTTGGGGTAAACCCTCAGCCCAGCTCCTTCATCAGCATCACATCGCAGACCTTGCTGTCCTTGTATGCCTTTGCGCCATCAAACTCCTGAAAGGGCTCCGAAAGTGGGCTGACGGCAAGTCGGCCTAGGCGGCCTAGACAAGACTCCGTGTGCTGTGTACAACGGATCTTGATTCTCTAGAGTTATAAGTAATTGTAAGTCTAGCTACTTTACTTACAACCTACCCTAAACCCCTAAACCCTAAACCCCCCTGAACCCGTCCGCCTCTGGCGCTAGAACCGGGAGCCAACAAATCTAAAGCCCTGGACCCGAGACTTTTGAGGCCCTTGAAATACAATGACTCCTGGCCGTCCAGCATTGTGACGGGGGCTTTCATGCCTTTCTCCAGGCCCTCCTTGGTTCAGCTGCAAAGAAAGCGGGGGGGGGGGGGGGGGNNGGGGGGGGGGGGGGTTCGGGTTAGGGGCTAATTCGGTTAAGCCTTCAATCAAGCGTCAGCCTAAGCCCGAGACATCCTCAACCCCAGAGTGCGAATACCGTTACTTACACTGCTGAAAGTTCGCGCGTAAACCCATACTCCCCCAAATCAAGAAACACCGAACGTCCCAAGCCATCGACTTCAATTCGAGCCATTTCTATGCATTGTGACGAATGGATAAGCCTTGCCCTCTTTTATCATAGGTTGGGATCACAAAGATGAGCGACATGTTCTGTGGCCGTGCAGATTGCATGTCCTAGCACTCTCAACGCTCGGACGCCGTGCTGTGAGTCAAAACATATATAACCCCAACATCATACATGCTTCCACATGCTCTGTTTTGTTCACAGCCACTGATAGGAGAACCCTTCACCGAAATGGTCATGGGTGGAAGGGCTTCCAGCTTTCGGTCAACTAAAGCTTTGGGCTTTAAGGTGAAGTGTCGATGGGTAGGCTCCTTTGGCTCGGACTTCCTTATCACGGTCCCCCACACCATCCTCGTAAGCCCAAGAACACGAAACCTGAAACCTTGTCCCTTTAGTCCAAGACCAAATTATCATACACCCCCGAAGTACTCACCGGCATTGCTGTTATCGAATACCCAACCCACCGAAGACAAAAGCGCTCATGAATCTCTCGGCTATGGGGTCCTTTAGCCCAATGCAATCCGGTACCACACCCTGACAGAACTCGTCTAGAACTTCTGATTGCTGGGTCCACTGAAGAGGAACATTATGCCTCCATGGAAAAGGGCTCAAAGACACAATCTTTCAACACGACCCTCAACCGCATTTCTTAGCCCGAAAACAAGGACCCTAAACACCAGGGTTAGGAGGAACTGAAGGTTCAGGGATTGCCGTTAAAGAGGCCTTAAGCTTAAACCCTTAAACCCTGAACTTCCGACCCTAGATGCTTAAAGCCCTAAACCCTAAACCCTAAACCCTTACAGCTCCTTTTGTCAAAAGGCCCCCCCCCCCCCCCCCCCTCCNNCCCCCCCCCCCCCCCCCGTTGCAACGGACCCAGAGTGCAGCTCAGTTGCAAGGTCTCCTACGTGAGCCAGGGGCGGGATCATGCCACCCAATTCCTTGGTTGGGGGATTTGAACGGGGTTTAGGGCCTAATAGGGCTTCGGCTCGAGCTGAAGGGTGAGGGTGTGGGCCTGAAGAAGAAGTCTACTCCATCACAATAGCATATTCGTGCACACCTTTTTCTCCACGGATGCCACCAAAAGTAACGACTGCAATAGCGCTGATTTGTCTATGATATGTCTGAGTATACCCGTACGCTTGTTTGGCATTATAGTATTTTAGAATGAACTGGGGGCAAGATCAACAACACCGTGCTGCACAAGTCCCAACAACACGAATAGCAACGGCACTAGTCAAGACGACTTGATAACCTGCGGGAGTAAAGATGACACTAGCAATGATGTGGACCGTTTGAGGGGACAAGAACAGAACCAATTTCGTATCGAATCGCGAGGACTGCTATTTTCTACTTAGTTAGCATTACTGATCACGACAGTAAACTCAAACACTGTTCCGAACCAAAGATCCGCACCGTTCACAGTGGCAGTGACAGTGCCCAGGATCACGCAGCGGGCCGGCTTCGATGCGCTTCGCTTGAGGTCCTCAAGCGGGAAGCTGGAACATACCGACAGGGAGGTCGGTTCAAGGTTCAGGCTTTACAAGGCTTAGGATAAACCCTAAACTCCAAATCGTCCTCCAGGAGCAAGTTGCAGAGCAGGAAATGTCCCAGGTAGTTCGCCGCAAAGCTCATCTCGTGACCCTCTGCCGACCAGCGTGGACCTCACAGAACGACCCAATGAACGGGCCCCTGATAGCTAGAACAACAAGGCTTTGAGTATAGATGATGGTAATTTTTCATGCAATCAAACAAAAAAAGGTATTTCTCTAGGTATTCAAGCCTCTACAGTATAGGGGCCTTGTGCTAATGTAACAACAGGGTTTTGAGGTATTCTATGGTGACGCCGAATTGTGTTTTTCTGCTTGCAGGTTTGGCACTTAATGCTCGCAGCTTTGGGTTTACGGCGGCGGGGGTTCTAGCGTTTGATGCTCGCGGTTTTCGTGCTCTACCCAAGGGCTCCTATGTAGTTCCTTGTTGGAGAGTGTACCATAATTCCTGACCAAACAACCATACCAGACCCAAAAAGGAACTACCTTGCAGCCCCTGGGTAGGGACCCTAAACCCTAAATCCTGAACCTAAACCCTAAAACCTAAATCTCCAAACCTAAACCCTAAACCCTAAACCCTAAACCCTAAACCCTAAACCCTAGACCCTAAACCCTAAACCCTAAACCGGGGTTTTCGTGCTCTGGGTTTGGCGTTGCTGGAACGATATGCTCGTTTCAACAGATCAGGATCCTGCGGTCGAGCGTTGAGGCCTAGGGTTAAAGGTTTAGGGTTTAGGGTTTAGGGTTTAGGGTTTAGGGTTTAGGGTTTAGGGTTTAGGGTGTCCGGGTTTCGGGGTTTAGGGCTTTAGGGCTTTAGGGTTTAAGGTTTTAGGGTTTAGGATTTAGGGCGTCTAGGATTTAGCACTATCCGGTTCTTGCCCTCAATTAGCATAAGGCTTGAATCGAAGAGGTTCGGGCTGCAGGGTCTGGCGGCCAGCGTAAACCATTGCTACCCAACTTTGAAACTCTACAGGCTGCACTCCCGAATATGGACGCTCAAGATTGCAAAGCATAAACTCATGTAAAACCGTACACCCCCCGAACCTTAAACCCTAACCCTAAACTCCAAACCCTAAGCCGTGGTAGCTACACCTAGCATACCACACCCTCTGACCTGAACCTGAAAAAGACGCCTGCGTTGCTGAAAATATATGGAACGCCCTGACACAGACTACCCAGACTCTACCTAGCCAGAACCTCGTGCAGAGGATCCTAAGCCCTGAACCCTAATAATGTAGGGGCCTTAAT